AATTTGCAATATATATATACACACACACAAGATTTTTCTTCCAGCCTACAGCAAATATGGCTGTAAGTATTGTACTAAAACCTAAGCAATATTACTAAAAGCATCATTGTACATTGTGTAGGGTAGTTTCATGTTTATTTGACTACTTAGCAAATAGCAGCAGCTGTATAACCATTGACACCTAATTAGTTTAGTGTACTGTGTGTTTTATATGGAGCCCCATAATCTACTACATGCATACGTATATAGCTACATGCAGGCTATGGATGTAATTTAATGTTTATATGGCAGGCACGATACATGTACCATAGCAATTATTAATTTATTGTTATATGTTGCATATCATTTGTTTATGTATAGGGTTCCTACCCTTTCGGGTAGAAATAATTTCTTAAACTTAATTTTCTTACAACATAGAACAATAAATGAAGTAAAGCAAACAATCATCTCTTCTAGTTACGACCTTTGTACTCATTTGCTGCTTGCCGTAGGTTGCTAAGCCTTATAAGATTTCCAACATGGAGGATGTGAAACGTAATAATTTTTTTGAGGTTTTATATATATATATGCATTTGAAATAACCAAAAAATCATAAATTACTATACTGATACCACAGAATTCTACTATAATTTATCAAGTTAAAGTAATTAAGTTAAAAAATATCAAATTTTGAGCAGACTAAAGACTCACCTTACCAGCTTGAAGATTTTTTTTAGTGAAAGAATGAGATGACGTCATAATACTTGAAAATGACTCAGAAAGCCCTTAGAGGGACATTCTGAGATTTTAGTTGTTTACGCGCATGTCATAGACAGAAGTAGGTGTACATAAGGAAGCATTTCCAAAAATGGAAAGAGGTGAGCAGAGCCACTGTGTTTGATTCAGTACGAGTGATATCTCAGCAAATAGAAAACATAGGAGGTTCTTATTTTATATTCTAGCTTGTAAATATTGGTAATTTGATTTTGTGATTTGTATAAACTATAGACTTTGTATTTTGACACCACAAACATCTAATTTGAACCAATGCTACATTCAACATACCACGCAATACACGAAAATCAATATTTACGTGTGTTGTTTTAATATTTACTTTTAAGTTAAGAAATTGACTACGTATAATACTCAAATGTGTGAAAGTGCACTTTGATCCACCCATATGCATAGCTAAAGATTTACATGGCTATGTAGATTATTGAATTGTTCTATTAAAAACACATTTCTTATCTTTACAATGCATTCAAAGGAATTTGTTTTTGTTTGCAGTCTAAAAAGAACTACCAATGTTTTGCATTTAAAGCTCAAGGGTTTACTATTCTATATAACTTGTGATAAATTATAAAGAGAATTATATACATATATACTGTTTTACCAGTAAGACATGCTTCAGTCCAAGATCAGGTTTCCAGTCTTTCTTGAGAGTATTGACACAGATCTCACCATTTTTTGCTACATTAGGATGAAATACTTTGGTGATAAAAAAACCTTTTGGTGGTGCTACTGGAAAGTCCTTGCCGAGAACCAGTTTCACACGAAATGCACCACTGGCATAGGGTGTCCCAGCTGCATTTAACAAAAAGAAGTAAAACAAAATTCTTATTTACTCACAGTTATATCACAGTATTTTCAATGTAAGTATGTATGCTCAATGAAATTGTTGTGTTTTTTTTAACTTTGAGATTAACAAAATAAGTCAAATGATAAGTTTAAACAACCTTCACAATTTCATATACTTGTTTTAGTTCATTCTTGTCTGTACGTGTCCAATACTATGTACACTTTCAGGTAGAATAAACCATCTATAGCTTGTAATAAACATATATCAAACAAATGGAATACATTTTAAAAATTAGTCTCAATAAGCATAATTCAAGAATATTACAATGGAATCTTGTTTAATATTTTATAAGATATGCAATAAAACATTGTTCTAACTTCCACTTGTCTTGCATAATAACAGAAATTACTACTTTAGCAAAGAAATGTTTCAAATAGTATGAAAAAATATTCATAATATTAACAGACCATAACACCTCTTAGAGAAAACAGAAATAAATGCATTAATGATACCATAAGATTGAAAGTTTTTCATTAACTAGCTTCCACATCTTTTGAAAGAAACTACAAAGCCTTTCAAATTAAAATATATTGGGTTAAAAGCCCATAAACACCACAAGCAGTAAGGGTACCCAACTGATGACCTAGGGCAGTTGTCAGAGCTGTTTATAGTGTGCCTGTTACTAATAAATAAGGTTCTTCATTATTAATTGCAATCATTATTGTAGAATTTTAGCAGCTCCCTTGGTAGAAGTTATTACATAAGTAAAACTTTGCTACCTTAAATTATGGAACAAATATGCTAAAGTCTAAAATCTAAAAAAATGTTACCATCGTTATAATAGTGAACTTTTTTTCCATCCTTAACTCGTATGCATTAAAAAACAAACTAGAATGTCGTTACTGAAGAGTGCACTAGCACTCTATGTGAGGATGGCATAGATCCCCGTATTAAAGCAATACAAAAGTAACCTGGATTATCTTCTCTAAAGGTCATCAGAAGCTATATATGAAGAACTACCTGGCATAGTCGCTCTGTCTCCAGTGTATATGCTGCTTTTCAGTTATCCAGAGCGTCCCAAGGTCAAAAACAGGCAAATAGCCAAAACTGAGATTTCTTACTTTCATTCATCATCATCTTTCTTCGACAGGCAAAAACAAATAGAACAAGAATTTCCAATTGTAAAATAGTCATAAAAGTAGTATTCTAGAGTCAACTAAAGGAAAGGTATAATGATGAAAGCTGAGATTCTATTCAAACACCAAGCTTTCGATAGTCAACGTGGGGAAGCCAGTAATGTAGGGATTTTATTCTCCATATAAAGTTGAGACAGCTTAGTCTGCTCTGTGATCATTAGCTGGATCAAGTGATACATTCACTTCCATCCCTATCTTGTTTGGTTCCTTTTTTTAAAGTTCAGTAGTCAGTCCTACATAGCTTTTTTATATAGCAATAAATGTTTTTCAAAACACTTGTCACAAAATAGATGGAAAAACAAGTCCTTTAAGTAATATTAATCAACTAAAAAAAAAGATTGAAGTACTTAGATTTTTATAAAATTTTTTAGTGATTTAGAAGAAATGGCATAGCAATGAGGGAAAATGTGTACCCAAAACATTTTGTGAAAAAACAATTATATGACCTTTCTCATGATGGATTACATTCAAGTATTTTTTAGGTATGTTATGAAGATCTACTGTATATTTTAGCAAATATATATTACAAAGGTTCTCACCTTGAAGCCATATTAAGCTTAAAAATTAGTATTATTTTGACATACAGCAGTATCTTTCAACTCTAAAGAAGAAACATCTCAAAATCTAATTTTTTTTAGATACCATGTATCCAGGGTGGGGCAAAAGTGACAAAACAATTGTTTCATTGAAAACAGTTTAATTTCAAGCGATCAAACAAACAATAATTAAACCTGTTTCAACAGCCTTAATAATATTTTCTTTAGTACCAACTGTGTTGTATCTTTGCTTCACCCTGTACAATAAAATGTTCTTTCTCATTTTCTACTTTTAAAAAAACAAACTTAAGCATCTAAAAACAGTTTGACCACGATATATTCAAATGAAGACAGAACTGGTTTCATACTTTTAACCCACAAGCTTTTTTTTTACTTAAGCAACTTAAGGCTATCTTTAATCTATTGCTCAAGAAGCAACGATGTTGCCTAATTTTTTCTTGTTTTTACCTGGACCTTCAATAACAGCCTGTATATCTGTAACATCCTCTTCATTTATAAATATCTTAATGCCTTCTGGTGGTGTTGTAACTAGTTCGGACATTTCCTTTGAAATTCGCCGAATTACCTGAGGTGACAAATTCTCCACATTTGAGTTCTGTAAATAAACATATCCAATTAATTATCAGGATTCTTAAGAACAAATTTTGTGTTCTTAGACAACAAATTTTAAGGTCGAAACAACTTGTTTCTAATTGTTTTACTTTTTTAATTTGTAATATTGTTTTATTAATTTATTTCAGTGCAATACAGCTCATTCTTTGAGTGCAAATCTAATTGAAGTAAAAGAAGCAGCAGTTTGGTTTATTGTTATTTTAAATTCAGAAAATAAATTGAAAATTTTGACTCTGGTAGTTGGAGTAGAAGGTTACTTTAAATTTGATATGGTCACAAAAAAATTGATGAATTTAAAAAATATCATTATCAGGTTCGATAAAAGGGATACCTATGTTCTCAAACTTTTTAATGAGTCAAATCCAGCCTAAGAGAGAGAGAGAGAACAGGCTTTTTATTTTATAGTTATAACCATGAAGGTAACCACAGCAAGACTGTTAATATGTGTTCTATAGTTGTCAAAAGTTGAATCACTCATGTTTCACAGAATTGAAGCTTTGTATTTCAAAAACTCAACTAAACTAGGTTTGGGCAGAGGAACATCAAATGACAAACTTCTGGGCTAAAGCTTTTATATGTTGCATTATTATACGATTGCTAGTTTGATCAATCAGTGATGCTTCTATAAGGTGCATGAAGAAAACTTCCTTTGTAATTATACTTACTTAAAAGGTACAGTTTGCAAGTTCAGTGTTGATGGTTTTTACAACTTTAATTAAAAGTTTCAAAGTGTATTTTTAATGTGAGCGGTATCATACAAACAATAAATTTGTTTAAATTCAAAGTATATCACACTCACAGTTTTTGAAGGTTAAGTAATGATTTAGATTGATTAGCATGCTTTTTACCAAGTTATTACATTTCATGGTACTTTAAGAATACAAAACATAAATTGTAGCAAGGCACAATATTTTTAGAGAAGTGTTAAGTATATGAAAACACACAGAATAAGAATATTTATTCATTCTGAGACATTCTTATATATATATATATATATATATAAATTCAATAAATCATTAAAAACCACAAAATAAACAAGATGAATACAATCTCCAGTAGATCACATCCTAACCAAGCTTTTTTCTCCCGAACTTCAACTTATAACATGTACTTCACACATACAGTACCATTATAAAATGAATACCCATTGTCTTAAACATATACATCAATCATTTCCATTTATACTGAACATTAACACATTCATTGCCATGTACCCCACCTGTGGGTCACAGACAATTGTTTCAAAGCCAGATTTCTCTTGTGGCATACGAGTTTGACTGCTTCTTGGCACCTCTTGAATGTTTACTTTTTTTATACTTACTTTAATATGCACCAGCAAACCTGTCAAGCCCAAATCATAAAAACTTGAGATTATGACAAATGTTACACACTTGTATAGCGGAAGGAAAATCCACCATTTATTGTTTTCCTATTGTAATATAGCTTACGAGTAAACTTTTTTAACCAACACCCTTATGAATATTAGATCAATTAGGTTTATTCTGGAAACACAACTTAAAATATTGGGTTTCACTTTTTTCAGCACTACACGACTTTCTCTAACCTGATGGCAGAATTATTTCAATGAAAAAAACTCATCATATGTACACACTTTAAATTACATTTTTGAATTTCTAAGAAATATTCATTTAGCATTTAAAAATTAGTTTTATAATATATAAAACTAAAAGGTTCACAAATGAGTCACGTTAAACTGAAACAAAGAGGAACGAAAGATTTACTTTCTTACAAACACAAGTGTAGAATGCTCATTTACACTCTCAAGGTTTTTACATTAGTTGATCATATAAAATCTGCTTGTAGAACACACTGGGCATACTAACATGAATGCTCTTAAGGTTCAATGTTTTAGGGTAGCAACTTAATTACCTTGAGCAAAACCTCACAACTAAAGTTATTTAACTACTTTAATTTCAACTCTAGTGTTAACCCTTTCAAACCTGATATCTTGCATTTTTTACAAGGGTAAATATCATACATTTTAAAAAACATAATATAAACAAAAGGAACCATTTAGTCCTTCAAGGCTATTCATGTACATCCTCCCCCTTATTTTAGAGGAAATTATTATTCTTTAAAATTATTGTAAAATGACAACCTTCACTACTGCCATTAGCAACTTATTCAATAACCCAATCACAATGTTAAAATGCCTTAACTGGGGCCTAGTATATTTTCAAACTGTCAAGCTTGTGTTCTTTTGTTTTCAGAATACATCAAAGACACCAGGCTTTTATTATATCAATCCACTAGATATTATAAATTTCCATAATATCACCTCTTATTCTTCTTTTCTTAAGAGAAAATAATTTAAGAAATCTTAACTTAGCTTTGTCAGATAATCCTTCCATTCTTGGAATTACCCTAATAAACCTCCTCTGAACCTTTTTCAAAAAGTTCGTAACCTATCTTAAATATTAAGAAGACCAAAACCACACCCAGTATTCCAAGTGTGGCTTAATTAGTGATTTGTTTAGAGATAATTACCAAAAGAAAAAATGTTAGCTATTCCTAGGGTCCTAGCCCATAGAAACAAGGGGTCTGGAGGCATAGGAACATAAAGGGGCCAACAAACTCTCTGGTGCATTCCAGGTCATTTTGGAATATTAAATGTTTATGTTATATACTATTAGAATGATCAAAATTTCTGACCAGTTAATATTCAAACTAGTCATTTTCATGAAATATTTACAGTTTAGACAGATACTACATACATGTTATAATTGAAATGATTAGACCATTTAAGTACATAATGGCCATTTCTTGAAATATTGCAATACTTATACAAATCAGTTTTCGCTAGGGCAAATTACTAACCATTCATTCACACACCAGGTCTTTTAAAATACAAATATGGAATATTATGCATGTTCATGCAAAAATCTCCACCTATCCTCCTCCTACTACAATTTAATTCTAAAGCAAACTGGTGCATGTTGAAATTTGTAACAAACCATTTTTCTTTAAATTCTGATGAATAGAGAGATATGAAAATGTAATGGCTAAAGCTGGGCAATTAACTTAATCAATATAATTAATCAATTACCTGTAGATTTAACTTACCAACTAATTTCATTAGGGTTTCTTACTATTACTAGTTTAGGTTTTTCTTTTATGATTATTTATTTGGTGATTTTTGGGAGGAGGGGGGGGGGAGTTGAGGGTGTTAGATTCGGTTTCCATATCACCAAATTTGCTTGCCCTGTCTCTATTATGGCACAACTATTAAGGCTAATCTGTCACTATAATTTTGAATTGTTGACTAGAGGGAAGGCAACTGGCAAGCAACACCTGCCACCAATTTTTTTTTTCTTGCATGTACCACAATTTGAGAAACACTGTACTAATATAATATTTATGGAGTCTTTAAGTCAACATATAGTAATCTAAATTAATTTAGGTGTGTGAATATTATGGCATTGTGCTTAATCTATCATTTGTTTTTATACAGCAGTCCAATTGTTTAATGATTAGTATACATTTCTTTTCACCAAAGGTAAAATTGAAAATATAACCTGTCCTAATAAATTAATCAGAGTCAATTAATAGGGCTGCTGATCAACTGATTAGCAAATACCACTAACTGCCTAGCTCTACATATGGTATACCAAAACACCCAAACACTGAATTTCTGGAAGATATAATGTGGAAACAAGAAGAGATCCAAAATCTGTTTTAACAGATGCTGAACAACTGATTTTGGTAAAATGACTGAAAAGATTGGTTACACTTGAGCTAAAGACTTAGGAAAGTAAGACATACAAAGTATACAGAAAAAAACTATTTCCAATAATAAACCTGGTCATAACTGGTTGGAAGGATTTATGCAGACATCTGGAACCAAGTGAAACACTACCAGAAGAACTTGGAAAAGAAAGTTATGGTGACAAAAGGAATGAGGAATTTGTTCCAAAGGTGGAAACATCTGCAAGACAAGCACTATTAACATCAAAGAATTTCTGACTGAAAGAAACTTAATGCCAACAAAACTGGATTTTCTCTACAAGGAAGTCATACTAAGAAACCTTTTCATAACCACACCAATGGAAATTTTTTACCTCTGTACATTCTTCTTCCATGAGAAAGACCACCAAAAACTGAATCTTAATGGAATAGCACCTTATACATACACCCCATGAAAAAGTCTTACTGGCTGGATAATTAGCAAAATATTTGATGAATGGGTGGCAAATATCTTTTACCCATTCAAAAAAGGAGATTGAACTGCCAGCTATATTCTTTGTGGATGGGCAAAGCTCCCACATCAATTTCACACTATTAAGAAGTAATGTTTAATAGAAGAACACAAAAATCACACAAGTCAACTCCTAGATATGTCAGTAATTCTTCTTCTAGATAAAAACAGTTCTGCAAAGGCAAACAGATAAATTGGATATCCACTTTCTAAACTTAACTTCTTAAACATACTTATGGAAAAGCTGGTAATCTTTGACAAACAGAAAAAATGCCACATCAGGATTTAGAAAGTCTAGAATAAACCCATACAACCCTGATGCAGTTGACTGCACAGAATTTTCACCAACACTGTTCTAACAACATAAAGTACCCGCAAGAATCAAAAGCCTCAAAAATTAATTTAGACAAAACACCTTTAACGAGGATGAAAAATTACTAATACTGACAAACTAGAATGTAAAATAAGGTCTTATCTTTTCTATTTGCTAAGATATTGCTCATGTAATAAATCCAACACAGTGGTACCCCGCTCACCTCTTTCCATTTTTGGAAATGCTCCCTTATATACACTTACTTCTATATATGACATGAATAACCAATCGGAAACTCAGAATGCCCCCCTAGTTGTTTTCTCAGCTTTTCTAACGTTCCTTCCACCATTTCTTTCTTTTGAATCAAGATTTTAATGAGGTAAGTTGTGTCTTTAGTCTGCTTGAAATTTCATATTTTTTTAGACGCAAATAAAGCTTGGTTACTAAGTTTGATAAATTATAGTAGAATTCTATAGTACTGATGTAGTAATTTATGATTTTTTAATTATTCAAATGTATATATAAAACCTAAAAAAATATATTTTGTTTCATATCCTCCAAGTGCAAAATTTTTAAAGGCTTAGCAACAAACATCAAGCAGCAACCGAGTACAAAGGTCATAACTAGAAGAGATAATTGTTTGCTTTACTTCTTTATTTACTGTTCTATGTTTTTAGAAAAATATATTTAAGAAATTATTTCTAAATAATAATAATCTATATACACATACAATGTATAATAATTGAAATGTGATTGTATTTTGACAACATACTAGTCTACTAAAACACCCAAGACAGGTCACTTTGTAAAAACTAAATGTCAGTTTTATATTATTTGATATGGTAACATGAGTGCACACGAGCCTCATCGTTGTAACTTCTGGATTGTTAGCCAGGCATGGGTGAAAGTGAAATATAAAAAAAATAATATATATAAATGTACAATGTTATGAGATTTAAGCTATTTTGACGAAACATTTATGTTTTTGTGTTATTTGTGTTCATTCTAGAATGAAAGAGGCATAATTTAGTGAAAATAACAGATAAAATATAAAATTTTTTGTTTAGAATCATTTGATAACTATCTGAACATTATAAAGACTTCGCATGTGAAATTTGAAACCTTTCTGATGCATAAAAGTATCTTTAATCTTAAAATGCAAATTACTTTGCATGATAGATAGGCAAGTTGTGAAAAGAAAAAAAAAGGCATGAGAGAAACATTGCTTTACAAACCTTAAGACTTAATAAAAAAAATTAGATGTTTTGCATATGAAAGCATTATAATGTTTACTGATAAACTTCCAAATTTCATTAACATTTGCTTACTAATTTAAAGGTTATAGCATGAAAACCATAGCAAGCACAAAATGGTTATGAGGTCAGTCTCGGAGACCGAGCCTGGGTTGAAAGAGTTAACGGAAGATCACTCCTACCCAGCCAAAATTTATATTTGTACTCCCCAGTCTTACAATTCTCACCATAAAGTACAAACAAATATGATGCACTAACACTATCAAATTCCCTTAGCAATCTTAAACATCCCAGTCATATCCATCTAACTCAGATCTTAATCTTTCCTAGTATGACAGCATTTCTATCTCAGGTATCATCCTATTAACCCTTTCCAACAATTCAACATCCTTTCTAAAGCACCCAAAACTGAACACAGTACTTCAAATGTGGCCTAACCAATGGCCTATACAATGAAATTATACCTGGATCATCTAGGTCCATTACAATTCCACCCAAATACATGTTTGATCATTTAAGAATCTTTTAAAACTAAAAGTAACATATATAATGCAAGCTTCTCAAAATCATATCATAAAATAAAAAAAGCTCTTTGAATAAGTCCATTACTATACAAGCAGCATTGTTTGCAAACATTATCTGCAGGAAAAAAAAAACAACGAGAAAAAAAAGCAACAAAGAAAAAGTGCCAGTAAGACTATGATGCAAAACAAAAACCTCCTGAGCTACAGCAACAGAATAAAAGATAAGAAAATCTTACACGTTAAATTCAGATACCACATATTTACCCAGAAAAATGGTCACTTGTGACATGTCCACAGCAATATAATAAAATATGTATTGACAATGACTAAGAACACAAACATCATTGATACTTATAAAGTTCTAGTTATAATATGTGTAAGCAGTAAAGTTACCCATCTGAATTTCAAATTTTACCTCTAATATTTGTTCAATTTTGTTTGTGATGAAAGTTTCCTAACTTGAAAGCCAAGTATTACTTTATAGTTCTTTTATTTCAGCTGAAAACATTTAAATTTTGCTATGAACTGAATAAAACTAATTACTTATAATGCATATGGACAAAAGGCTACATTAATCTTATAATGTCATACCTTTCTCTAGTTGTTGGAAACTGCTGCATTAACATTAACATTGGTTGTAAACTTTGCATAACAATCTACATTAAATATTTAAGTTTTATATTTTGTATATATCTGCAATTTACAGAATATATTTTAAGACTAGGTATCTCATCCTTAACTTAATTTCCTTTTTCCAAGTAAAATTACAATTTTTTGTTAAATAGTTGGAAATGTCCCTGCTAGTAGCAGTAGTAGTACCGTATTACAATTTTCTACACTTAAATTTCCAATTGCATTAAGATTGTTTACTCTACATCTATTAATAGATTATTACGTAGTATTAGCACTATTAATACTATAAGATTTTGAAATGATATGTTTGGTCTATATTTTAGGTGAACTCTTTTACCAAAAATTAACTAGAACAGTTAAGTAAATCACAAAATGCAAGATGTTTTCTAGAACTTGGAAGTTATATTCAGAAACTGAATTTTATTGGCATTTTCAATTGCAATGTGTACCACATCAGTTAAATTTTAATTTTAAAGACAAGCTTAACTAAAAATTACCTAAACATTTAACTTTGAAACTTTATATTAAGCGACATTGTAATTAACACAGCTGTAAAATCATAATATAATTTATATATGAATTATATTAATACTTTTAAACATATGTTGGTTAGTTAGGTTTACACTTTACAAGAGCGCAGCTACAACTTTATAATAATTAATATAATCATAAAGTAAGTAGACCTAACGTCTTAACTTGACTTAAGCCTAACTAACAACACCTTACCACAACATGTTAAAATTAGATTTGAACATGAAGATGCTACATCATTCAGTGTACTTACAGTCTGTGTCTAAATTATAAAAAATTTAATTTACAACTTTGGTTTAAAAAGTAAAATGTTAAACCTATAAGGAATAATTAAAATTTTTACATACATTTGACATTTCTGTGGAATATCTGGCACACATAAATATCAGTCACTACCTCCAACAAGCCTTTTCTAATATCGCGAAAATCAACGTCCCCTTACTCGTTGAAGATTCGTTCAATCAACCAAGTTTCAAATTCAACGAATCATGCTTCGAATTTTCCAAAGATAATCTCGAGAGCAGGACACTACAAAATTTTTATTTTCGGATATTGTAATAGTTATTCATTCATGCATAATATTTTTCTTATAAAATCGAAAATAAATTATTATTATAAACGTACGTATTTCAGTTTATATTTGTTATTATCACATATTTCGACCTATCGACCTGTTCTTGTCAGAGGACAACAACATGGTGGACGAAGCAGAAAGCACGACAACAAGCGCAACCGAATCTATTTATCGGAAAGCTGCTGTTAGTAATAATCCGGTAATTTAATATAACATGCAGTTTTATTTCTTTTGATTTTTCTCTTTTAAACTTATAAAACATACTACACCTTAGAAGGATAGGTGATCACAGTTGTTTTTAATAAGTATAAAGTTTAGCCCTTGGGATATGGAAATTTGGTAACTAAATACTAAATAGTACATTTCAAAAATAAAAGAGGAGTAAAACTAAAAACTGATTTCGCGTGAGACTCTTGAGCTTTATATTATACTTATACTAGTTATACGAGCATTGGTATATATACAAAAGAGAAAAAAATTCAATTTATCTGCTGTTTAGCTGAGATAAAAGAGTAGTAACACTAGCAGAGTTATATTTAGACTTTTAACAATAACACTAACGGCCACTTTTTTGTGAGAAAATATACTCATGTTTTTCCGACCTAAAATACGTGATTAATTGCGATTTACATATGTTACCTCTATTAAGAATGAAGATGTGTTTAAATCCTTGGGAAACAACCACATTTTGAGGAAGTTCAATTTATTATGAATACCCTCTTCATTGGAACAAATGTTTGAAATAAACCAAATACAAGTTTTGTTTATGCCGATCTTCTGAGAATGAAGATGTATAAATGTATTGTGTGGAAATAGGCTCACACTTTCTGGTTTATGATATCTGTGCATAACTTATCATGGTAAGTTGACCAATCGTCCCCTCATTTTTGGGGACTGTCCCAGAAATAAGACTTATGTCCTGGACTGATTTCGTAAATAAATCCATGCAATTTGAAATTTATATTTATTTTGGTCTAATAAATATTTTATCAATTCAGTTAGTAGAAAGTTTGAATATAAATTGTAAATTCTTTGTAATAAATTGTAAATTGTATCATAATGAGTCTCCCTCTCTCATCTCTGTAATAATATTTACAACAACATGAGTTAGTGGTGTCACAACAGTAATGTATATTCTCTGGATATAATACATTGACATTAATATTATAATAGTGGCAGTATACCATAACATACAACTTACATTATATCATTACAATATCAACCTTTTTTCTTAAACATTTGGTGCCAGATGACTGTACATGTAGTTCTTTTTACTTGTGCGCTACACACACAATGTGCACATGCTTAACCTATGCTTCAGTAGTAGTTCAGCATTGTTTTGCCTTCCTTCAGTGTTTTATTGTATAATTAAAATTATCTCAAGTCTACAATCAAGTTAAGCATGCTTTAAAAGAATGAAATTATAATTTTAGTGACTTATTAAGAGCTGAATTTCCATTTATTCAACTGGTTAACTTTGAAGATACAACTGTAGTAAAATGTACCATGTTTAGTTTGACTTTTTGGATAGTGAATGGTGGGAGGACTGTGATTACTGGTCATTTACAAGCAAAGAAACACAAGAATGCATTGCTTGCTAAATCTCAGTTGGGATATTTGACAAACTATTTTTGTAAATTGGAGCCGTCAAAAGCCGAATACAACTTGGCTATTTATGAAGGTACATATGCCTATCATGCTTTTGTCCACAATCACAGTTTTCACAGTATAGACTGTACAACAAGTTTACAGAGGAAATTGGTAGACATGAAATTTTCCTGTGCAAGAACAAAGTGCGGATCAATCATTACCAACGTTTATGCCCAATGGGCATGAAAAATGATCTCAAGTGTGAGAGTTTTGTTACGGTGTCTTGTGATACTTCTAATCATAAGCATGTGAAGCTATTACCAGTTTTAGTACTTTATTTTCAGGTGTATGATTTGGAAAACCTGGTGAAGAACAACTCCTTACTTTTGTTGAAATCTCAGATGAAACTGCAGATATTTTTGGGTATTTTCACATATACACTGTTCATGTAGAATGCCTAAAAGATTTCTGTGACTTCGTTGGACAAGAGTATAAGCATATACTGCAGAAAAGTTGTATCTTACATTACATTATTATGTCAGCTATTGCAATAAATGTTACAGATTCAGTGTGTAAACTAGTTCATTTATTATAACTTATTATTAATTAGGCCTAATTACCATGAATTTTGTTGGCTAAATTCAAGTCTATTTTAGTACTATATTGGCAGCCCCAGACCCCAGCCATTGTTACAACGCCTCGGAACTTTGGCCCTCGACTTATCACACTCGTGCATTTTTAAAAGTTACAAGGTCTGCTGTCCCCAGAAATGGCAAGAAAAACATAATCACTTTATGTCATGGGCATCATGTACCTAAAACATTGAGAAGTGGTCTCCGGTCATAACATATTAGTTCATAAGTGAATTGTATGTCTGGATGAACCAAGTTTATTTTCTTATGAAGCTGTTTAATGTAGTTATTATCATCAAGAAGTAAGGTGGGTGTGTCATAAACATATTGTAAACTTAAATTAGGTTTTTCATCCAGTTTTTGAAACTTGTTTTCAAAATAATCCATGAAGATGTCAAGTAAGAAGAGAGAAGAGCAGCGTTTCTCATGCTCAGCCTGTGATGTTGTTGAAAAAATCCATATTTAACTGGAAGTATGAATTGCAAATACATACTCTTAACTAAATGTATAAGATCCTTTAATAACAGTTAAGATAAAAAATCTCATTCCATCTTTTAGGTAATTCATTTAAGGCTTCCATCTGTTGGAACTTTGATAAAAGGATTAGGCAATTGGTGGAAATATATTTAAAAATAATTGGATGATTATTGGCAATCAATTAATCAATAATTGAACAATTTTCAAATTTATACATCCAAGGGTGACAGATGTTCCAGTTTCGCCGGGACAGTCCCGTTTTTTTGGTAGTTTGTTGGAACTCACAAAAGTCCCAGTTTTATGATAAAGACATCAAACTGTCAGTCATATTGAATCATAAACATAATAGGCCTACTTGACTTGCTCATTATTGTAACGTACTCTCCTGCCATCAAACCCTCTTGAAAGTTCCACCTGTGTGTGTGTTGAGAAACCCAACTCTGTGCAGATCTGAATGTGGAGTCAGTTAAAGCAGTGTTTATCAAAAGACACACTTTACACAGTCATGTACTGAAGTTTATGACTGTTTAGTGAATAAAAAACGTAAATTCTACATTACATTCACTCTTCACAAAAGATATGTTTAAAAAGCTTGAAAGTGTTATGGATTATTAAATAAATGCAGATATGAAGTAGCCTGTGTTAAGGTGAACTGGACAAAGTGAATAATTAAAGATTTATTTGATGTATAATTTAGCTATTTTTGCTCATTTGTGTCTATATCCAAAAACGTTTTTTAAATTATTTCAAAAACAATGCTAGTGTTAATATATTTGGAAATATTGTGGAGCAGTTCAATAAATGTAAAATAATTTCAATAAAAGTTAAATTATTTTAGATATGTAATAACTAAGTGCTGGGCTGTCTTGGTTTTTCAGTTTGGATATTGGTCAGCCTAGCCCATCCTTAGATTGTTCATAAGAAAATATTTCAATGTACTAAATTGAACCTATTTTTATATGTTGTTATTGGATAATAAATATTGTTTACACAAAAACAAATCCAGTATAAGAAAATATTTATCATATTTTGAAATTTGTTAGTAATTGAGGATTGGGTTAGCATCTCGTACTTTCATCTTTTATGAGAAAATCTTTATTAATTTCTGTAAGTTAGTGGTCATGAAATATTATTTGTTATTGCAGTTTGATTTAGTAAAGGAGTATTAGAATGAGTTGGAATATTCCCAAAAATAAATAATAATAAGCCATTGAAGACAAGTTATCAAAATGTTGCCAATAGATTAATTATTAATTAGTCTCTTAATTATTTGATAACATACATATATTGTTTCATTAGTTTTGATATTTTTGTGGAACACAGGATATGGGCTTTGAAGAAGAAATGAAAAACCTAAAGAACAAATTGAATGGATGGAAGCAGGTTTTACAACCATTATATTCAGCACTGATCTGGGAGCAGTCATATTACCCTGCAATTCTGACTGGTATCGTCACCCTTATATTCATGTAAGGACACACACAAATTTCCTTTGTTTTGAAATGTGTTCTAATACTGTTATGTACTTACTAATTCTATTTTAAAACAGTTGATACCACACTGCACCACCACAGGGGTTAAGTGTCTGTATTGTACTTTGTAATATGGAATAAAATGCGAGTCCAGTGGGCTTTCGTACTTTGAAAACAAAGATTAGACATATTGGCAAGTACAAATTATAATCTCTTAACCATCATTAAAATGCAAGTCATCACCTAACATTTTATTTCTATGACTCTTCAAGTAAAATTAAATGTCACTGAAATGGTATATTCAAAGGTATGGAAGAAACACATTCCAATGAACCTTGTATTTTATTATTTTAAAAATTAGCTTTGTTGAATAAGAACTTAGTTATTTATAAGTTGTATTTTTTGTTTATTAAACTTAACTGAAAGTGGTAGCTTGATATTCCAAATCACTCTTTCTCCATCTGATAATATTTTTACTTTAAATTTAAATATATGACTAATAAAGCTGTTGTGAAACCATTTGAATTTGGTACAACGTAGAAAAAAAACTAGTTGTTTCTAATTGTTATATTCACTTCTTTCATTTGCGAATAGCCTACATGTAAGTAGAACTAATTGAATATTATCTTAAAACATGTTTTTTGTGAGTAAGACAGCTTGTACGAATCCTATCTTCCAAAACAGTTCACTTACCTCTCTTCACATAATTGCTATTCCTGAAGCAGCTGCCTTTGCAATTTTGTACATCCCACTAGTCTTATCTCCCACCTAAGATTTGTTATGGCATGAACATCCACTAGTGCATGATGTAAACATCATGCAACAATAACCATTCACCACTGTCCTTACCATAATGTGTTTCTTTAATTTAAGTTTAAACATATTTAATCTCTTCAAAATTATGGTGCCCTTTTCGCAATGTTGACTGTTTTTGGTTTCCTTTTAGTTTGTTTTAACTTTGATTTAACCCTATAGTTACAGGTATGTTCATTTGGCAATTCTTATTCTATGACCTCCATCTGACTCCTTTTTATCACACTAAAGTCTTCAGGTGGGTTTCTGACACTTTGGAGACTTGGGCTGAGGCTGCCTGACACTATTCTTGTCTTTTTTTCTCTCTCTCACATCCTTTTGAGTCCACTCTCGTTTCTCAATTCCATTAACCCTTCACATCTCTCTCTCTTTTTTCCTGTTTCTTGTCCTTCTATCTTTTCTCACCAACACTAGAGTCAGTATCCCATTGCCACACCCTTCCCCCTAGTTCAGAATTCTGTCTCTTCACCAACACACTCTTATGGGTTGGGGAATGTCTCTGGATGACTCCACATCCTCGGTGGTTTCGTCTCCTATGGAGATGACCTTCCACATTAATGTTTTAGAACTCTTGACAGGCCTTCAGGCATGTTTTTATTTCCTTCTTCGTCTTGTGGATCACTTGGTTATGATCCATGCCAACATTTCTGTGGTTGTTTCCCCATATCAATCATCAGGGTGGTACTCACACCAAGGACCTTTGCTTTCTCATGTTGGATTTTCTGTTTTGGGCCCACTCACATTGGGTTCATCTGACAGCCTGTTGGCAGACAGGATTCTTTCTACAGAAGTCTTTTATTGGATCTGTTCCCAGTTGGGTATACCAATGATTGATGCCTTAAACACTCTGCTCAATACCAAACTTCCTCTCTTCTGATCCCCTATAACTCACCCAGCTGAGCTGGTTTTGGATGCCCTCTTCCAGGACTTGTCTCATCTCTTTCTGTATATAAACCCTTCCTTTACCTTGTCTGATGTGTCTTGGTGTTGATTCTTCACAGTCCATGTCAGGTTCTATTGGTAGCATCTTTTTGGCTATATCAGTCTTAGTTTCCTCTTCTCTCGACTGGCATCCAGGGCATTTCTACCTGCATCTCCATTTTGGTCACTCTTGCTCCAACTTCGTATGTCTCTCTTTTACTAGAGAGTTTCATCCCTTCATCTTTCCACATGAGATTTGTCCACTTTCCAACTGCATAGTTCTTCTTTTACCCTGCTCTTATCACCAAGTCATCCTATTTTTGCCTACCTTTGTCCTTATTGAGCTGGTTGTTTCACCAAGAATTATCAGTTTCTACCATCACAGGCTATTGGGCAGCCTTTTCAACTACCTTTTGCTTTTTTGCTACAGTTCTGTCTTTCCCTTCCCTTTTCTTTCTACCTTGTTCCAGTTCTTCCTTATCTATTGTCCCTCTCATCCAATTACTTTGTCCAACTGGAATCGTAAACCTATGATGCCAGGTTTCTCTATCAGAGAGAAGGTAACATTGCTCTCATCATGTTTCAATACAAAAACAAAAGTAGTGGATGAAATTGTCTGAAATTTAACAAGAACTTTCCTAAAAATATGTTGTTTCCAAAATATAAAATATTTAATTTTGATTTTTTCTACTTATTTTAAATAAAAAAATTTATTTAATGCAGTTCTACTACAAAGTGATTTTCATGTTAAGTATAAAAATATTAATTTTGGTTTTACTGTTTTCACATTTCAATTGCATAATCTTTATAACCTCCTAAATGAATATCAAACATTTTTAAGCTAAATTTTTATATTTTATTTGCCATGTTCTCTACAACAACATTAACTCTAGCTATTATCACCAACTTGCAGTGCAATGAAATGTTTAAAATTAAGAAATAGAAATATGTACATACTACCTTTTAACTCCTTTTTTAATAATCTAAAAATATCTTCTTTGGGTCACATGCTTAATTTCACATCTTTATCTTTTCATCTATAGTTTAATTTTTATGTTTTATTTTCCTCTCCTGTTCTTTATCTTTGATTATTTATTTATGTCCACACACAACAACAAGTGCCTGCAGATGATGTAACATTAACTTTGGCAAGACATCCCCTCCCCCTTACCACACATACACAATATTTCTTGTTTATTAAAAAGCTGTTTTCGTGATTCAAAGTATAGAATAACTGAAAAAATCTTTAGACCGTTCAAATATAAATTGGGGTTACATTGTTATAGAAATAACTTTTAAAATATTATCTCATTATTACACCATTGTTGTGAAAATGAAAAATTACTACATCTAGTGTTAACATAAAAATACTGTATTATCTGAATATACTTTCTTGTGTTATTCTCATTCTGCCCATATGACGTTCAGAAGTCAAAATCAAATAATACACGTAAAAAAAAAAGTGAAAGCTGTATTGCGTAATGCTAGCAAAACAAAATAAAATACTTCTAAGAACTTTGTTTTTAAACATTGATATCCTTTATTCTTTGAAATAACATAAAACAAAACTTTTCTGTTTGTTCTGTGCAAAGAAGTATCTAAGATATGTCAAGCTTTGTAAATTTAAAGTAATAAACTTCAGTGTCTCTTCTTATACTAAAATATGCAATAACCCAAGATGAAATTACATATGTTGCATGTTAGTTCTGGTTTTGAATCACATTTTGATTAAAAACGTAAAAGCTACTAGAAGAGGAATTATTAATATTTTTAGCCATCTGTACAATATGTTAAAGTACACATTAGAACTTAGTAACATAAATAAGATTTATAATGTGACCTAGCTGTAGTTTTTTCTTGGCTTTTTCTTAAACAGTGTACATGTACAAACTAGATACATCAGATGCCTGACCTCTAGGGTCACCCATTATAACAATCTACTAAATTCAGTCATAACTATCTCAAATTAAGTAAGGTGAGGTGTTTCTGTCATTAAATGTACTTGTTATTTATCAACAATTTTATTTTTCTGTAAAATCTTAATCTTTGAATTTATTCACAGAAAGAAAAAAAAATTACCTTCAGACTTAATGGCATCATGAAATATTGTGGCTTTTGTCTATGGCATCACAAGTTTCAAAGAGTGTTATTTATCTTGTCTTTTGAACTCACTTTAAGAAAAAGACTTCTTAACATTGTAAAAGACTAAAATAAGAACTGGTCTAATTTTCAAAGAGGTTTGATGTCCACTTTCTAGGAAAATGTGTCACTGAACAATGTGTAAGTAAATATCTAATATTGGTTTCATGATCATGTGTGTTAATTAAACTCAAGTACTTGTTTTTTGAAGAATTTGTGTTTATCCTAAATAGATTAGTTATAATGATGAGGACATGGAACAAAAAGGGTAAATTACTTAAGATGATATGTTAATGGAAAAAGAAGGATATATAAAGTATTTATGATAATGAGACAGAGGCAGAGTTGGGCCTTTACTTCACCAAGAAATTACTTATGAGCATAGGTTACATCAATTAGTGTCAAGTAAATTAATCGATTAATTGAAATACTGCCATTATGATTTCTCATAATTATTTTTAATGAAATCAAAATTGTTCAGTTTAATTGATTAGGGTCGCAACTCATGAAAACAATAAACTAATTGAAATTTGTTTCTGATTATTACTATCTTCAATTAGTTGAATGTAAGTGATTAACGAGCCCAAGAATTAATTGATTAGTACACTCCACTAATCATCTAGCTCTAAATAGAGAAACATTTTCACATGTCTGTTTTTAGAATTGCCATCACCTTCTTTTAAAAGCACTATCCCATCATCATAAATAATTTACTATTAGAAGTAATTTACCCTCCATTCTTCTTCTTCATATCATCCTCAATCCCAACTAGTTTGGGGGCAGCTAGTAATTGTATAAGCCATTATTTTGTACACCTGGGTGGCTGGCCCAGACGGCAACCATATAGGACAAGCATGATATACGACAGGGATTTGAACTCGCAACCCTCAGATTGTGAGTCAAACACCCTAACCACCAGGCTATGCCAGACCCTCATTTACTTTCCAATGTTGTTAAGAAAAAATAATGATTTATTTTCCACTATTTCAAATATTTTTAATCAAAATTACTTTTTAAGTAAATTTGACCAAACTGTAAATGTATGTTATTGTTTTTCATACAGCTGGAGTAATTCATGTTATTATTGGCTGTTGCTGACATATTAAGGGTAGTTGCAAATTTAAATATCTTTATTTTGTGTGTTTTATAGTCTTCTGTGGTATTTCGAGCCATCAGTACTCACCACTTTCTCCCTGCTTGGGATTGTCGTATGTGTAGCTGACTATGCAGTTCCCATCATGTGTAGCACATTCTTAGATGCCTCCAAGTGGTAAGGAATGACTTGTAAAGTGTTTGTTCATGTTCATTCTCTCAAAACGTACAAATAAGTTGCTACTTAACTCTTATCCTTTTTTTCCTTCTTTCTTGCAAATGTACTTATATTCCATAAGTTCAAGTGAATATCTTATTTTCCTCCATTTTTCTGTCATTTTTACTAAAATATATAAACAGTTTCTCATTTGAAGTTAAAATTCAAAATATATTTGTATGAGTTTGCATGTAGATATATTTATGTATCATTAATATGAGACAACATATACCAAAACAGTTAATACATCACCAATAAAATATGTTGTTTTAAGTCAACTCATAACAGCTTTGGAAAATAGCTTGTTAGAGTTCAGAAAGCTTGCAGAAAAGATTGAAATCAAAATGACACTAAAATTTTCAGTCATACTTTCCTGTAAGATACTAATGGAGAGAAATTGAGTTTCTTATGATCAGTTCAAGGCTATTTATAATAGTATAAACAGACTTTCCTTTTCAATGGGATTTAATCTAGTTGTAACAATCCAGTATGAACTTAATTCACCATACATTTTAATAACTGTTCCACTGTTGTTTTTAAATTCATAATAATTCTAAAAGTTGTGCAGTTGCTATATATATTTGGAAAATTTGGATGTACAAGTTAGGCTAAAACAAAAATGTCTAACTTTTAAACAAGTTCCATTCTCAGGAATACTTATTTCTTTATGTAATTGACATCTGTCATAAGTATTATACTTAACAGATTTTAACATCTTATTTATGCCAGTCTTTGTAGTATAATCTGTATGCAGAACAGTTTGTACAAGTTAGTTTGGAACTGTTGGGATTCAAATCATTATTAGAATCTGAACTTTAAGTAAAAAATAGCAAAAAAAAAATGTATCATTATGTAGTATGCTTGTAAACTTGAGGAATTATTAATGCCTCTTGGTTTTTGTGTTTGGTAGGTTTTATTTATTCTTGAAATGGGTGACTATCTTTACAGTGAACGTATTTTTGTGTACATACCTTCTTAGGACAGAAACTCAAGAAAACAAGCATGAAGAAATATGCAAGGCCATCATCCAAACAAAGCAGCAAACTTCTGAGCTTTGGTCATCCTTCATTCAGCTTCGAGATACTATGCCCAAACTTGTAAGGGTGATACTGTCTAATTACTGAATTTTTCTTTCTAGTTTGATTAATTTAGGATTGTGACAAAAAAATATTAATTTATTAAAGAAAGTTTTAGACATTGTATTGGCATGTTGCTTCATATTTTCCAAAGAAAACTCAGTACAGGGCTGAAAACATTGTCTCCAAATTACACATGAGGCAGTAACAGTCAATAGGAAACTATTCAACAAGAAAGTTTAATACTTGTTAAGTTCATCATCAGAGGTTACTGACCAATAAATAATCAATGTTATAACAAGTGTACAGTTTAATGCAAGTTATTTTCAATAGGAACACATGAATGTGGCAACTAAAAATCAGTCAGAATGGACTTTAGCCTAATTAGATCCATGCTCATGTACAGTTGAAAAGAGAATATTATACAACCAGCTACAACAAATATACTTCCGATACAGCCTTACCCCTCTCACACAAAGCTATCTTGATCTTCTTTCTGCCCCCTTAGTATTGCTAAAAAATGTTAATGCTCAGTCTATATACCCCACACATTTCTGCACCACTTTGGAATGTGTAGCATGTGACCACCCACCACCAAAAGTATAGTGCCACCTATATTAGTGCAGCTAGCTCCCTTTGATTCTCCCGCTCAGTCCTCACTTTCTCAATTGGCACAGCACTGTTTAGACATTTGTTTTTTGCATCTGACTACCATTTATGATTGTACTTTGTTGATATTTCGTTACCTTTTTCAACAGTTTTACTGTTTGCATTCAATTGTTTTGATTGTTTTTCATTTGTTTATTGTTACTGAATTATATGGTAACTTAGAATAACTTCACTATTCAATGTATCAACTGCTAAAAGAATAATTAAAAACTTCACATTTGCTCTCACTTGAAGTGCAAGTGGCTATGGTAACTGAATTTTAGACTTTCTTATACAAGAAACAGCTATGGTTAAAAATGTCTTTCTTGCTGACAATAAACTACATGTAAATACAGTTCATTCACCAGTAACTGGATACAAGTTCCTAGAACTGGCCTCAAAAGGAAATCATTATAGACATTCATGAGTTCAAGCTATGCCACACCCACTTGCAAAGTAGAAGCTGGGTTGCTTAGCGACTGTTTTAAGTTGAATGGCATACTTATAACCAACAGAAAGCAGATTTCCCCTTCAAGGTCATTTGTCCTTACATGAAATATATGGTATAGATTTACTTTCAGCACCTTTATAATGAGGCTACGTTTATTGTTGAGAGCAGTGTTCATAGAGCTTGGCAATTTTCTCTTGCCTTATACATATTAGTTTGTTAGACAGTTAGATTCCATTTACATTTTACTTTTATATTTTAGTTAATTATGTATTATTTGTATTTTAAGATTTATATTTGAAAGGTTTAATTATTTTCTAAATTATTCTATACTTTGAATTGCTAAAACAGCTTTGGGACATGAGTTCAAAAAATATTATGCTGGAAGGGCTAATCGTAACAGCGCAAGTTAATGTAAAATTGCCTGTGGACACTTGTTGATGTGTGTCGACATAAATAATCAAAGATAAAGAACAGAATAGGCAAATAAATTATAAGTGAAAAGATAAAGTCATAGGGTTAATTTGCAGGGAGCTAGATTCCTACATTTAGCCAGTGATTTCTTCTCATTTTCAACCTGACAATTTTTCTGGGGATGAATACAGTCAAGGGGAAGAAAATTGGATTCATTTTTTCCAGCACCTTCTTATTTTGGTCAGACATGCTCTGCATCTCTACAGGAGATCTCACCTTCCACCTTTCTTCTTTTTATTTATTTTTTTTAAATTTATATATATATATATACACACAGCTGGTTAATCAGGTATATGGTTTATTACGTGTTTCCTTTTCCTCCTAGCTTGAAGATGCATTGATCGGTTTTTTGTGCTATTAATGTTACCAGAATCCTTTTCCATTTCTCTTATGTTGTCCTATGTCCAGACTGGTCATTCCTCCCTAAGACCTCTGATGCCCAGGAAGGTCATTTGGCTTTCACTCCAATTTTATTACCTTCCATCTCCCACCTGTACTTCCATTCTGATACCCCCTTGGCTTCTTTGTCAGGTTTGCCTCCTAAGGTGTTATGTGACACGTATGCTCCTTTGGGGATTCATGTTCTTGTGACCTATCCCCTGTCACACTAGCTGGTTGGGTTTATCAACCAGCTTATCCATTCAGAATTATCCATGGAAGGTTAGATTTCTTCTCATCAAGTTTGTCATATCACCGTGTCTTTAGTTGCTCGTCTTCACTGTTCATTGGAAGAAATCATTCAGGCCAGAATGTGAACTCGTCCTTCGTCGATTATTATCTACACTATTTGGCTGTATCTCCCTCCCATGGTAATTCTACACATATCCATTTGCCTTTGGCCTGGGGGGTATGTCTTTTCATAACACTTCATTTAACATAACATACCCTACCTCTGTAGTCCATTATTTTATGTAAACAAAAGATGAAATAATATGGAAGATTGTGTAAATTGTTTAGAATTACTTAGTATAGACATTTTTGCTTACATAGGTACTTAGTTTATGTAGAAAAATAAATTATGTATTTTTATATTTTCTTGTGGACACTGATGTTACAAAGAAAAGGAAAGATCAAAGAAAAGTAATACATGGTTTTTATATTATCCACATAAATATTCTTAATTCAACTATACAATTACATAATGAATGTAATGATTGTAAGAACAATCCTAATCAGCCGTGGCTTTGTTTACATTTCAGTATTTTGTGAGTGTGCTGGTTATCTTGTTGGTTGTGGCCTGGATTGGTAATGTTGTGGACAGTATGCTTCTCACTTACTTTCTTGGTAAGTTCTGTAAACTTCACATTCATATCCCAATAAAACTTGTAAATTGAATCAATAACCAAAAGATGTCTGATGGCAACTTAAATTATATCAAATGTTTAATATTATATTTGGATCTTTAAATGATATTATAGATTATGCCATTCTTAACAATAATAATTTATTATAAGTTAATTCTTATCATCAAGATTCTGATACCCATTTATTCAGGCTTCACCATACCTTGAGTGGGACAAGTTTTTTATATTATATTACATTACAGTATGTTAATCAAGTTATATTAAGAAACTACAAACTTAGAAGTATTTATATTTCCAAATGACTTCTTATTAAAGCATGAAATATTGCTTGTAAAAAGTTACCATGCAACAAGTTCATGATTGTGTTATTAACTTCTCAAAGTATATTTTTGAATCCATTGGTGTACTATACAGATTCGTCAATGTTTTAACCTATCTGTTACCTAATTTCAAATAATTATACCTACAAATCATAATCAGTTAAATTACTGTGTACAATAATAAGTACAGCTAACAGTTGGTTTGTCTACAACATTGAATCAGTAATTGGTTGATTTATAACTACCTAAAATCAAGTGCAGTTGTTTCCCAATGGCACAACAGTATGGCTGCAGATTTACAATGCTAGAAATCCGGATTTTGATACCCGTATTGGGCAGAGCACAGATAGTCCATTGTGTAGCTTTGTGCTTAATTTCAAACAAACAAAATCAAATACAGTTAAGAGTAGAGATAATAATTAGTTGACTTGCATTTTAAAATCATATGTACAATTAACAGCTGGTGTTTGCGGGTTGGAACTGTAGAATTATACATACTATAATTCTGAATTTTGGCAAGTTTTTAGTAAACATTGAAAGTCTTATACGCAGAAAAAAACAGATTTTTTTAATGAGGTATGTTTACTAAAAATTTGTATGTGAATTTCTGAAGCCTATAAAGTGTCAGTATAAGTGAAAGGTGATTTTCATGCTAAGAATAAAAATATTTCTTTTCATCTTACAGTTTTCATATTACATTTACATAACCTCCAAGACCTAAATGAATATCAAAAGCTTTTTATAACAGAACTTTATATATATATTATCTCTTATTTTCTCTACCCTAACACTAACTGTAGAGAACTTATCATTGTGAAATGAAAAGTTGAAAAAATATTAAATAAAGTGGATAATACTGTTTTTTTCCTCTGCAGACTGCAATGTTGATCAGAAAGTTCAGAGTCACTTAGCAATTTCAACTGCTAACCTTTTCATATCTGTTTTCTTTTAAGTTTATGGTTTTATTGTTGTACTTTTTGCCTACTGAAGCAGTAATTCTTGTGTCAAAAGCAATGAATCACAGTGGGAACCCATTAGCTATTTCCCTTAGAGTTGATGTAAACAGCGTGTGGTCCGAGTGTCATGTTTCACTCTGTGTTCGAGGTTGTAGAATTTTAGATGTTTTATTTTGCCGAAGTTTTGTTTGGCTAAGCTCAGAAACTTATAATTTTTACATTTTAGTTATTTTTATTAAAAAGTATGTATCAGTGAATATATAAAATGTGCAAAAAAACAAGACATATAGTACTCAATGCATAATTGAGACATTTACACTTGAGTAGAAATTTTTGACAGCCACCCTTAAGCCTTATTGACTCTCACAAGTTTGTGTGTAGGAAACAATCCATGGGCTTTCAAAATATGCATTTTAGAACACACAAGGTATATCAGTCACTAGAATGAAGTGTCCTGAAATGACTGTCATTATTCAACTTTCTATGTAAACTATAAATACGTTTAAAAAATTTCATTACTATTCAGAACACGAAATCTAATCAACACAAACCAAGCAATTCTTTTCAACTAATTACATTAATTACTTATGGCAGGAAACTGAATTGCAAGATTTATGTAGAGGAGAATCTGCTCTTTCTGTTGGTTATCAACGTATCCATGAACTATGTAGAGTTGATTAGTAAACAAGAGGTGGGGAAGGAACTCCTCTAGGGGTTTGTCACATTTATTGAAATCTTGGCAAATCAAGAAGATAGGAGATACAGTTTCAAAATCTTGTTCCAATTATGTGTACTTTATGTTCTAATTGGTTTTAAACTGCAGCAGCCTATTTTAGAAGTTATAAAATTCTGAATAGAGAAATTAGGGCTCAGACATGTCATATGATACAGAAATAAAGATTAAGCTTCTTTTTTAATATTTCTTTTTTGAAATTAAGATGTTAAAATGTAGATAATATAAAAATTTGAATTATTAACTATGTTTTCATGTATAGTTTATCAACATACATTAATAATGAAATTACTTGATTAAATTTTGTGTATAACACTATAAAATGTCATGAAATGTGCACTCTATTTGGTCGTATGGAAAGAGTTATCCGCTTACCATTGCTTAGTGAGAGACAGTGGTAAGAAAGCTAGGATAATGTAAAAGCTAGTTATAACATCAGAAAGTGAGATTAAGATGCAGTAATGGATATCCACATTACATTGTTTTTTTATCATATCAAAGATTTCTCTATTTTTATTTATAATACTCAAATTATTAAAATCTGTTATTTCACTCAAGCTCAATGGCTTAGCAGTAAGTCAGTGAGCCTATAACGCTGATACTCAGAGTGAGCAGAGTACAGATAGCCTCTTTTGTAACTTTGTGCTTTACAGCAAACAAAAAACACTCATTCACTAGGCCCACCATGCTCCCTTAAACAGTAGGAGTTGTCTCATTATAATCAAAATGTGTAGGTTTACTAAAAGTGATGTTATCTAAGCACATTTATACAACTATTCTTCAACAGTGTATCAAGTGTTTTGAGATTTAAATGATGGTAGTGTGATTACCGTCATTCACTAATAGGCAGTTTCTACTTGTATAATACATAGAACTCAACTGCAAATGGTAAATGTGTTCATACGTATTTACTTTTGGCTTAGTCAAAAACGAAAAGTGGTAAAAGTACATGTTCACTGACGGGTGGCTCAACCCTCATTCACACCACAATAAATCTATATTTCTTTAGTTTTTTACTGCTGTAGTCATTTCTGTTTACTAAAACAAATGATAGCTATATATATATGGAGGGTTCTGGCCCGTAAACCGCATTCTATATATTTTGAGCCAGTGATACACATTTGATATATTTAAATGTTGTTAAAAAATACTTTTGTATCATATTGTTCTCTTACTTTTTTAATCTATACATAGTGAGAGTTATGAATTTGGAATTCTGTTTTTTCTTTTTTTGAATACTTCATCCTCTACCTGCTTTGCAATTCACTATTTGTAATTTTTATATGGGTATTTATTCTTGTGAAAAGTCTTGCATGCCTCATGCCCTCTTTCGTTTGAATCTGTGCCAGTCATTACTTTGTTGCATTATGATACCTGTACCTATCTTTCAAAATATAACATTTTCTCTTGACATTTTGTGAAGTCCACTTACGCTTTCTACTATAAGAATAACTGATTACCGTGATAAATTCTGCTAAACTTAATTAGAGATATAGAATATTTTAAAAATTTAACTTTTGTATGGGACTTGAGTCTACAGTGAAAATTTTTACAACAGCTATTATCCTGTGTTTCTGTTGCCTGACACCCAATCTGTCTTGTCTCGGTAGTTGGTCAGGTACAACACAGCTCTCCTGCAACTTTCACTACCAAGATTTTGTTTATTTTTTCACACTCTTGTGGTGATTTTGGTCACTCCTGGGCTTCAGGCTTTGCAAGTTTCAGCAGAATTACGATGCGTGTAAATCTTCAAGCTCTGTGAGCCATTTAGAATTTTTGCATAGGCTTCGTTGGAACCATCGTAAGATCAGTGAAACTAATATTAATGAATGATAGACTGATGTGATTTACACCTACTGAGTGAGCGACCTTTCATCTGATGTGCTGTGTTTGGAGCTTCAAAGTCTTCTTATACACCTACATTCAATCTTTAACCTTGGAGCTTGTTATATTTGTGGAGTTTTACATCTCCTGACAAATCATCTTCTAAAAATAAATAAAATTCTCTCCTCATAATGGTCATTTCACTCCCTAGTTTTTAGTTATATCTGCCAGGATTTAGTAAGCCCAGTGATAAATGCATTTTCCAAATTTTGGAATTATACGTTATCCCGTTTCTGTTTCCACATTAACTTTTACTTGCATTATATATCTTTGCATAAGACTGGTGCTATGCATATTGCCCAATTTGTATATTGGTGGACATTCTAAACTGGATTTGCTCAAGTACAATGTACTGGTGATATCTTTTTTTATCAGTCAGTGTTAATCTATATATCACTGAGATCCTTACAGTTCAGACCTTGAGTATCCTTTCTAGGCTAGAGAAGAACAGTCTTGATGTCTGTCTCTGAGATTCTTGCAGTTCAGACCTTCAGTATACTTGCTGGGTTGGAGAAGCATAATAATCTTGGTATCAGTTTGAGATTCTTGCAGTTCAGACCTTGATTATCTTTGCAGGATTGAAGACATCTTCTACATCCATCCAGTATATGGATTTTTTTAATATGAAACTCTCAGTATTAAACCTGTGTGCTTGACTTCTCCAGTCTGCTGCTTGCTATTGGAATTTTCTTTCATAATAGTTTACCCATCGAGGCAAGAAGAAGCCATTTCTTGCCAACATTATAAAGTTGTTCCTTTTATTGATTTCCATTCAGCTATATCTAAAAAAATGTTTTATTTCAATTTTTCAGTATTACAGGAAAGCTTTGGCTTACTCTTTCACTTTTCATTGGGTGGAAGAGACCCTTGTTATGGAATTGTGAAAGTTTTTTTATGTGACTGTGGTTTTAACTTGATGTTGTGGGCTCTATCCAAGCTCTCTTTCACACTTTTGTGATTTCTATCTTGGAACATCTACTTTTTTTTCTGTCTTCAGTTTATCAGTGTGATGAAATACATCCAGTCAATGAAAATAGCTTTTTTTTCCATGTGGATTGTTCAGCTTTGGAAAAATAGATCTTATCTCCTAAATTCTGCATTGTTTGATACTAGATGAGGCCCATGTGCTGCTGTATTGATTGCAGTAGGCCTTTTTGTAAATCATACCTAGTTTTGGGTTTTTACAGATATAAGAAGTCAGCAGTGGAGGAGTTGCATGCTCCATTTTCTACTGGGTGACTCAAACTTCTCTTTCATAATGTGTATGCTTGCATGAAGAATGATCTGCATTGGTTTCCCAGGAATTTACTACAGAAATGGTAGAAGCAGATCTCATCTGAGTGACAATCTAAATACAAAAGGTAGGATAAATGCAGTGTGGAAATGAAGTAACATTAGTAAATTGTATTAGATGTTGATTGATCTATAGGTTCTGACAATAAAATATGTGAAACTCAACTTTTCACATAAAAAAAAAGACTTCTACGAGATTGCAGAATTGCTCTTAGAAGTTCTAAGAAAGTTCCACACAATTATATTAGAGGAATCTTATTGAATTATTCTCGAGATCAAAAATGCTAAGCTTTACTATTCAGAAGTCCAATGTTAGAGTGAAACAATTATAATTTAGTAAATTTTTTTCTGTCAGTTAATGTTTACCTGCATATTTTTAGTGTTAGCAATTGTGATGATGCCTGGTCTGAAGCATCAAGGAATTATCCAGAAGTTCATCAGCCAAAGAGCACAGCAGCTAAAGAATATCCTTGGTCAGAAGTTGAAAAAGAATTAAATTTCTCTTTGTGAGTGAAAGCCAACATCCTTCTCATTCTTTGTAGTTGCATTCCAACATTATACCACTCCCTGTCTCTGTTGTTGTTGTTTTTTTCTCAAATTTTAATGCCAACCTCTATGATTTTTATAGTTCAAATCCATATTCTAATTGATGTGAAAGGTTTAAGCAATCAGGTGTTTGTAATATTCTCTTTTTGATACCTTGACAAGTAGATTTTAACATAGATTTTGAATGGTAATGTGCTTGTATTCTAAATTATTTTAATGTTTTATTCTTGACTATAAGCTTTGATAAATGTAGATGAGTAGGTATATTGTCTAAAGTGCAAAGTTTGGTTTGGTTGTAGACGCACTGTGTTTATTTTAATCTTGCGATTTTAGCTATCACTATAGGTATGTTAGTGTACTTTTTTGATAAGCTATTATTGTTAACTATGATTTGTTGTTGATAGTTTTGAACACAACAGAGATGATTTTGTTTTTAATTCAGTAATGTTTTTTGTTCTTTACCTTAATAAAATAACTACAGTGTCGATTAAAAAAGTTGGGATAAATAAAATAAGTGTGGTTCTGGTTACGGATAAAAGAAAAAAATAAAGAAGAGGTAACTTTTTTTTTTTTTCTCACATGAAAGTGTAAAAATTTAATTTTTTTCCTGACACTATATTATTTCCAGAAATACACACTTCATTTCAGTTCAATGTTTACACGGGCCCGGCATGGCCAGGTGGTTAGGGCACTCGACTCGCAATCTGTGGGTCGTGGGTTCGAATCCCCGTCAAACCAAACATGCTCGCCCTTTCAGCCGTGGGGGCATTATAATGTGACAGTCAATCCCACTATTTGTTGGTAAAAGAGTAGCCCAAGAGTTGGCAGTGGGTGGTGATGACTAGCTGCCTTCCCTCTAGTCTTACACTGCTAAATTAGGGACGGCTAGTGCAGATAGCCCTCGTGTAGCTTTGCGCGAGATTCAAAACAAACAAACAAACAATGTTTACATGTAAAGATCTATCAAAAGTAAATTCTAGGTTTATATATTTTTTTCAGTGGCTTCTCGCTTTATTTGAAACAGGATTTTAATGAATCCCTGGTTTTGTAGGAAGTGCTGTATTTTAGCATTTTAACTCAAAGTTTTATATGAATTCTGTGTGTAGAACTCATGGCACTGTGTTATTTCCCCTTTAATTTTGGGTGGAAACCTTTGTGGTTAAATATTTACGTATACATCAGTAACCATTTCTACAAATACTGTTTAAACCAGGAATACCATGAGTTTTAAGAATCCTCACATTCAGAAATGGAAGTATGGTCATCATATTCAAGCTGTGAATGAAATAGGTCTTGTGACTGGCTACAGTACTGGAGGAACATTAACAAATCAAAACACAGCTTCCATCATCTTTTATTTTGAAAATGCTGCATGAAAAGCTGTGCAATAATTCCAAAATGTTGAAAACATAGCAGCACCCATGGTTTGGCAGTGTTTACACATTGAAAGTTTGAGGTCAGAAATCTTTGTTTCAGCCTTAAAGACATGCAGATTTTTAGTTTTTGGTAAATTGGTTAACCAGAACCACTTTTATTTTTTTATTTGGCCTTCATGAAATCAAGAACCTAAGCAATGACACAACTTGTTTTCTAAGATTATGTCTTTCAACTAGTTTGACTTAAAATAATGAATTAAATGAAATACTTGGGTCACATAAATAATGCTCTTTGATTGAAGCAATAACTGAATTTGTTCATGAGTTAGATTGCTTATATGCACTCGATAATTGCAAGTTATCAGTTTGAACATCCTGAAAAAAGGTTAAATTCTGTGGCTGAAATAATGGAATTTTGCCATAATTTAACTTTTATTTAGCTTTTTTTTTTCAGTTTATTTATTACACAAAGAAGTGTAGGTTAAACCTTTAACACTTTGAAATACATGTGCAATTGTGGTGATGAAAGTTTTGTGTTGAAGTTATCAGAAAGAGCAAACCTGTAGTTCACTAATATGTACTATGCTGTGCTTCAGTGTTCATGTTACCTTGTAACAGTGTGTGCTTATATGAACATTAAGTTTGCTGATGTCGCTATTGTGCTGCTGTACAGAATTCAAAAAATTATTCTTTTAAATTTTGAAGCATTTTAATCATTCACTGTTTTTGTTTTTACAAAGTCAATATTGACTCGTGAAAGAATGTAATAAAGTTTGGCAACTATTTTGAAGAGAAAATTAGATTAAGTATGAAAATAACTATACCTTCAAGTAATTGAAAATTCTGCATTTTATTAACTTACATCTCCAAATGGTAAGTTAAATCACTGTTGATATATTTAGAGTGAATAAGAAATAAATAAGCTTAATACTTTTGAAATAATGAAGTTTTTGGAAGTGCATAAAATTATATTTTTTCAAAGAATTCAGTTTTCTAGTTACATACTACCCTTTCTTTTACAGTGATATTTTCACTGTTAGACTTTTTGTACCAGTTTGAGTGTTTTATTTTAAAATGGATTGTTATACTGTGCATAATTTGTCTTTTTCACTATGAAGATCATATAGTTGAGTAATGTTTAAGATATTCTTTCAAATACCTCTTTATTGTGTTACTTTGCACTTCACTTGGCTCGTGTAAAAGCTCAACTGTTAGAATAGGAATGTTTTATCAATGCTATGAGGTTTTAGTTTCTCTCGAGTTCTTTATTGTTAATCAGTAAGACGTTACAAGTGTGCAAAATATATATATAAACAAGACATTAACGTTTAGAAAGGTAATGACATTTAATAATAAAGCTACTAGAGAAGTTGTAAAATAATGTGCAATTTTTGTTCCTTTCAGTATTAAGTTTTAGCTACACTCTTGTAAAATAAAGACCTAGTAGCTGTAAGTTCAGAACAGCTTATTACTGGAAATATTGTTTGGTGCTATGTTTATTTGTAAAGTGTAAAGTGAAACACTTCACTTTCGTAAAGAATATCCTGAAACAATAATTTGATTTCCATGTCCTCTGACCTGTAAATTTATGTGTTGTCCAGTGGCTTTTGTCAGTTTCTGTTTTAAATTATCTGGTTCTTGTTAGAGCCTGTTCCAGTATTGTAGTGGATATTCATATTGAAAACATGTCCATGCATGATAAAATAATCAAAATAAAGCATGTTTTATGTATATTCTAAGAGTGCAGTCCATCTTTGAGATACATATCTGTTGCTTCCATTTATGGAAATGTGTAATATTCTCAGATACTAAGATAGCCATTTGGTGTGCAGGATACCATAATTGTAACCATCTGTTATTTCCCACCATGCACATAACTTTGTGTTGCAATAAGTTGTGTTTTTCACCCGTCAACAAGATTTTATGCAATGAATAAATATATGATCTTCACACATTACAAGACAGCAATAAATATGTAGGTATATAATGACATAGGTATCATTTTTGATTTCTCTCAATATGGCTAAGAAAATAATACACAAATACATCCTTAACCACCCTCAGGTGTCTACAGGTGAAAAGCATCTCTAACTCCATGTGGTTGTAGATGTATTTATGTCTCAATGTTCTCTAGGTGTGATGGAACTTTTACATAGATAAAAAAAGCATCAGGTTTCAGAGGGATTAGCAGTATACTAATGGCAATATTCTGGATGTCGAACTGTGTAATTTACAACACAAAACCAACATCTGTTTTTCTTAGGGTTATATGTTATAAGTGTAGGAATTTGTTTCGTATGCCTATGTATGTTTGTGACTCAGAGAGCAGCATTGAAACTGAATGGTTTATATAGGTGTACAGGCAAAATGTTGTTTATCAGTGAGTAAATGTAGTGAAAAAGCTTATACATTACTACAATTATTGTAAAACTGAGCACACAATATTCAAACTGAAAGTAATTATTACTTTGATGATGAATGGCAGAAAAATTAATGTGGAAGCTTTGTTATCTGGCACCTTTCTATCTGGAAAGATCTTGTAACTGAAATATTTTAATATATCCAAATACAAATGTTCATTATAATTTAGTTTCTGCTGTGGCTTTGTTTACATACTTTCTTCCCCAACAAACTTCAGTTTTTGGTTGCCTGTACTGTGATTCACATTTAAAATACTCTACTTATAAATGTTTCTACACAGTTTAAAGTTTTTTTACAGCATTTATTATTGTTTAAAACTTATTATTATAGAGGATGTAGAAATACTACACCTTAGAACATTACAAGGTGTCAAAAGTTTTCTTGGAAAGTATTGTTAGGGAAGTGCTTTTGTAATTAGAATTTTCATTTATTCAGCACTGCCAACATCTGGCAGATGTTAGATAATAAAGCCTTTACTGTAACTTTACAAAAATATTACAAAGAGTGAGCTGTTAGGTCAGCCTTGCAAAGAATGGATTTTGAAAACACTTTTAGGAATTATAATAGCCTGTTAACATAGATTAGTTGAGAAGCAAAGAAAAAGAAACAAAAGAATTATCATGGAAACAAAGATTGCAGTTTGTAGTGTATATTACTGTTATTACTATATGTAAAGCTGTGATTAATTCTTTTGCACAATTAATATGAGTAGCTTCAGTCCAGGTTTTCATTTTTAAAGGACAAATGATGTGAGGAAATACTTATTTCAGTTGTTGGAGTTAGAAAAATATTTTGATAAATGAAAATGAACACGGTTGATTCAATTTATTCTGATGTAAACACTTAGTTTTCTCTTAAAAATCACATAAACTTTCACAGGGAATGTCCAGAATATATATAAAAAAAAACCAGGATTACAACCCGACAGATGGGAAAAATTGCTGCACTATGTAGATAAGTAACTAAACACAGCTGGCAAAGAAACAAGTAAATATGCACAAATGCAGCAAATGCTGACCCAACCAAACATGAAAGTGCTTTTCTGGTCCTGTTTGAATATTAAAAAGGAAAATTATATCGTAAAATACTTTAACATAAAATATAAATTTAAGGTTTAAATGCTAAAATCTGGCAAAGCATAAGAAACCAATAATCATAAAATTTGTGATAAAAAACATCTGCCATTTATGTGATTTTTATCACCTCGTACATAGTTATTGAAGAATGTTAGTTGACTTCAAAACATTTTGATGCTATTAACACTTTCACAACATTGAAAACATTTTTGTAATCTCCATAATCACTTTTTCTTTTTAGTATAGTTTAAAAATTCTTTTCTCTAAAACTAAATTTGAAGCCTAATCTGTCATTCAATTCACCACTTGTCTCTAAGTTATACCAGTTTGGAGAATTTTATTCCTCACCAATAACCCAGGACAAAGGTAAATGAAAAAAAAAAAACAGTCCAACCTTCTTATAGTGGTGAAATACATATATATATATATATATATATATATATATGATCTATTTTGGAATTCACAATAACTTCTTATAGGCTTAATTCAATATTCCTCTTCTTTTTTTTTTCAGAAGTTTTGACAGTTCAAACAAAACATTAAAACTCAATTGATTAGTCAAACTTAGAAATGTGTGAGAAAAAATATTTAAACTTTGTTTGGAAGCCACTGTAAAAAAATTTCTCATGTTAATATTTATAAGGAAAATAAGCTTGCATAACTTGTAACTAATTTAATTTTTTTATCATTCCACATTTATTTCTTAATAGTGTGTGTTTACTAAGAATAATCAATAAATATCTAAGTTACAAAAACTACAGTGTCTTTCTTAACCTAATAAAAGAAATAATTTGCAGTATAAATATTTAAAGCTACTGTGTAAGAATATTCTGTACCAGAAGTTCAACAAATGTTAATGTTTAAACTATCAGTACTTTACATGAATTCTTAAACCAAAGTCA